AAATGTTTATTTTATTTATTTATTTACATGAGACTTATATACCGCCCATAACCCCTAATGGGTCTCAGAGCAGTTTACAGACTTACTACTATATAGTAGTGATTAAACCTACCTAGGGCCACATTTCACAAGGGGAGGGACTCCCTATCAGCACCCTGTTGGCAGCGCATTCTCTCTCCGAATGTTGTTGTTGTCTCTGGCATCTTCCGGTTACCTGGTGACCTTCTTCCCTCTTCCGGCTGCAGCTTCCGGCTCACGTCCTTCCGGCTCCAGTCATGCTGCGCCGTGCTGCGTCCACTTCGCCTGCGTCCCGCGTCCTGCGTTCGCTCCACCTTCCGTCAGGTCTGGTCATCCGGAATTCAGCTGCCATTGTTGTTTTTAGCCACTGCTGTCTTTTACCTCCGTTGCTGCTGCCAACACTCCTGGCACGGAACCAGGAGGTGGGTGCCCCCTGCCACCTAGGGCAGGTACCCATTTATCTACTCGTTTTATTTACCTTTCGAACCGCTGGGTTGGCGGGAGCTGGGATGGGGGACGGGAGCTCACTCCGGCCGCGGTGGGAGGCTGTTCGCTACAGATGTTACAGCAGGCGTTATAACTGGATTTATGGAACTTAAATACCTTAGCGAAGTACGAGTATCAGGCTAGTACGTATATATGGGAGGAAACAGTCCTTCAGATATGTGGGTCAGCCCAAAAAGGGCTTTAAAAGTCACAAACAACACTCTAGGTTGGACTTTGAAGCAAACTATTCTAAGATAGACAAGATATATTCCCACAAGCCTGCCCAACAATAACCAGGTTACTATATTCTGAACCAGCTGAAATTTCCAGGGTAGCCCAACATAGAGTGTGTTACAGTAGCCCAAATACAAGGTTACAAGAGCATGGATCACCATGGCAGATCTGCTGTGTCTAAGAAAGGTGAGAGTTGGCTATCAGATGACGATGACAGAAAGCCTCTAAACCAATCTGTTCTTGGCCACTAAACCAACTTGCATTTCAAACAGCAGTGATAGGGCCATGAGCAGCCCCAAGCTCTTAACCTCCTCTGCAAATACAAACCCCACTCCATCCACTACAAGTAATCCCTTAATCAGCTTTTCTGACCAGCATCAGCTCTATCTTCAGCTTGTTCTGCCTTAGCCACCCAACCACAGACTCAATGCAGTGCTCAGAGCCATGAGGGATACATCTGGAGGCTTGGGTAAAGAAATGTAGAGGGGAGAGTCATCTGGATATTGATGGCATATGACCCCAGAGCTCCAGGTGATCTCATTTAGTGGCCTCATAAATGCTGAACAGCACAGGTACGAGAATATAACCCTATGGAATCCACAGGACAGATCCTCACTGATGTCCCTCCTGATGGCACCTGGTATTTTTGGCCACTGTGTAACAGAGTGTTGTTGGACTGGATGGGCCACTGGCCTGATCCAACACTGGCTTCTCTTATGTTCTTATCCAGAAGAAAGAATTATAATGTAAGGTTTTGTGTGGACCACCAAGTATTTTGTTAAATGCAGTTAAGTTGCTGAAGGACTCTTCCTTGTTGGCCTGCAACAGATTAACAGTGCAATCCACAGCAGAATTACACCCTTCTAAATCCACTGAAACCAATGATTTGGAAGGGTAACTTTATTTAGGATTGCAGTGTAATACAGCTACCTCTCTGCACCAGTTACCCATGGTTATAAGTACTGTATTTGTATGACATTATTTGGAACCACATGGACCTGATATTTTCCTTTCTTTAAAACTCAAAGTTTCACAAATCTAACAAGCATCTATAAGCCACATAAATGTACTTGTGGAAGGAGATAAGTTGTTTATTGTCTATTCTGGTGCATATGGGGAAATAAGGCCCTATTCCAAAGGTGCTTGCAATCTCGAGTTGAACAAGATAAAAAAGTTAGACAAAACAGACAAGGGGGGAATTGCGGTTTCAAACATTATCCCTTATAGGATTATGTAACTGTAGAGGTACATAAGAAAGTTCAAATCAACTGCATCATGGGGTTATCCATTTTGATCTGCTAGCCTTGAACTGCAACTGCAATATAAGCAAGAGTGCTAGCAAATATTATGCACGGTAGGGTGAGCTCCTGTCTAGTTCCAGCTCCTGCCAACCTAGCAGTTCGAAAGCAAGAAATTGCAAGTAGATAAATAGGTACCACTCTGGTGGGAAGGTAACAGCGTTCCGTGCACCTTGGTGTTTAGTCATGCTGGCCACATGACCATGGAAACGTCTTCGGACAGCGCTGGCTCTTCGGCTTTGAAACGGAGATGAGCACCGCAATCCTAGAGTTGGATTCGACTGGCTTTCGAGCAAGGGAACCTTTACCTTTACCTATGTTGCACTAGCACAGATTTCATACTGACCAAAAAGCTTTTAAGGTTCCACATAAAAAAAGCTGTTCTCCACTACTATCCTACCTCTTTCCTGCAGAATTCATCATTTTGTTCAATGACAAAAGACTACAGTGGGCAATGACAATCATTTTTAACGTAGCCTCACCGACCATTTATATTATGAAGCTGGCAGAACCCAGAGTTAGGTTCTGCATATCAGAGTTCTGCATGTCACAGAGGAGACTTCAACCTCCATCTGTACTAATTCCCCAAATTGCAGATCTGTTCCATGATCAGGCAACAGCAGCTCCATCTTACCTGGACTGAACTTCAGTTTATTGGCCCTCATCCAGCTTATTACCATTTCCTAACAGAGACATTGGTGAAAGAAACAAAGCTGGGTGTCATCTACACAATGACACCTCACTCCAAAATCCCAGATACCTTCTTCCCACAATTTTATGTAAATTTTAAAAAGCACAGGGAACAGAACTAAACTCTGCGAAACCCTATAGCACCAATCTGTAGTGTTGCAAAGCTATTTTCCGGCACTACCTTCTGGTACTGATCAGCATGATAGGAACTGCAACACTGAAGCATGGTGCTACCTACATCCACCTTGACCACGTGGTCCTGAAGAATGCCATAGCTGATGGTATCAAAAGTTGCTGAAAAGTTCCCAGACAATCAACAGCATTACACTCATGTCTCTCTCTGGGTGAAGACTGTCTATCAGAGCCACCAAGGCAGTTTCAGTTCCACAGTCAGTACCCAATCAAAATGGGTCTGTTCCATCCAAGAAGCTTGGAGTTCCCTAGCCACTACTTGCTCACATACCTTTCCTAAAATGTGGGTATTTGCTGCTGTGCAGTACTTAGTAATGGTCCTCTGGCTCAAAGGACAACTTCCACTGGGTTTGTTATGATGCTGGAAAGTACAATAAACAGATTTTAAACACAACTTTCTTCATGAATAGATTGAGAAAGGTCCCCTTTTTAATACTCTAGGATGAGTTCAATACATAATAGTAATGGTTATGGCCAAATTAACAGAGCAAATAAATTGATACAAGTGACAATGGCAGAAAGACATCTTCCTGAAACAATTACAGCAGAAAGGTAGGGCATGGCCAAGCCATGTGCAATTTGAACACTTCTCTGGAGCCTTGATAAAGCTCAGCATCCACAAAAATCAAAGCTACACTGTCCCAAATATTTTAACTATTTGTCAATCTCTTCCATAGCAAAACCAAACATTTTAAATGGCAGCCAAGATTTACATTTAGCAAAATGCATTAGAAAGGTTGCATGTAACAAAGTTCAGTGCATGAACCAAATTCAGCACTAAGAATCTCATTAGCAACCAAAATACAAAAAGGGTGCTGCAATATTACATGCATTTATGTACATATCTTAGCAGTCTATCCTTAAATGTCAGGGGTTACTTTAATTTTAAAAGGTCTTTCTACATAACCTGTTGAAAGCATTTTTAAATGAAGCCAGTCAAACATGACATATGAGAAATCTACAACATTCCTTTTCCTCCTGGATGTTTGCATGCACCAAAGCTGATTGTAGAGATCTCCATCATAAGTTTTAGGGAGATGATAGGAAAGATCACTGAGCAACAATGAGAAGAAGAAAACAACACTAGCTAAGCAACAGTACCATAGTCATAAGTTTCCACTTATCCTAAGAACTAGATTTTGAAACACGTTTCTCTACAATATTTGCAAAGCATTTCCTCTGCAGTCTCCAAACTCTACTTTCTACTTGCAAAGCTGGCACAACAGCAACTAAAGACCCCGAGAAAACATTACCGGTTTAGCGGTATTCTGCACATCCTCTTGCAAAGCGTTGTGTGAGGTTTGCTTAAGGTTTCGTGAGAACTAAAAGCAGCAGGAATACTTCTGTACGCCCACTCTGCACACGCTAACTTTTTGTGTACAAACCATAGCGGGGCACAACATTGAGGAGTACAGCAAAAGAAGCTCATCGACAAAGAAACTAGGAGGTCCCAGCACTGTCCACGAAATAACTCGGTGCGAGGGACAAGCACACAGATCACACAAAAAGGGAGCTTGGAATCACGTCAGAGAAAAGCATTAACGATAGTTCCCCTCATGCAAACACGAAGCAGGAGAACGTTTACTTGTCTCCACCACTTTTCATATGCTACAGCGGCAAAACTGGGGAAGGGATGGAGAGAAAGAAGGAAAGACACCGCTAGTTAAACTAAATGCCCTTGACTACTTAAACATCTCACTTGGCAATCGCTGCTTTTGTGGAACTCCCCCTCAGGCCAACATGCCAGCCAACTTCCCTCCCCCTCTGAAGCCAGAAGAGAGCTCAGGACCCAGCCTAGGCTCCCAGCTGCCAGAGAGCAGCCCAAGCGCGAAGCAGCCGAACCCTCTGCAGCATACAAGCGTCCCAGGTCAGGCAGTCTGGCCAATCCCAACCCCCCCGTTATTACAACAACAGCAACAGCAGCTTCTTCTTCCTCTCCCCCCCTTCCTCCCCGAGGGGAGTTACTCCGCTCTACTCACCAGGTCCTTTGTGTTTTCCATCAGGCCCTCATGGGCAGCGGATGCCTCCTACTGCTGCGGCTGCTGCTCTCCTCCCCCCTCCCACCCTCTAGGCTCAGCCCCCTCCCCCAGGCTCGCCCCCTTCCCTTGCTGAGGGGCAGGGCCAGGTTGGAGGAGGAAGAAAGTTCAGCCTCTCACTTTAATGAGGGAGAGAAAAGACATTCAACTCCTAGCCTCAGAATATCAACAATATTAGCATATCCGCACTGCGCACGCGCATACCGCCTCCGCCCACGGCGCGCTTTCATTGGCTTCCTCACTGTTTAGATCGTCCTCGCTCGCCGTACGGGGGTGGTTGGACTGAATTATGATACGGAAGAGCCGATAGAACTCCGGGGGGGGGGGGGGGTTTAAAGGGGGGGGTGTTTTTTAAAAAGTCGCCGCTATTGGTTCGACCCTTTGGACTCAACCGTTTAGGACCATCGTTCTGTTGTTTACGTTCGCTGAGGCCAAGTCGTATTTAGAAGCGTGTGTCGCTATGAAAAAACAGATCCATTTTCACCCCCACAATGTGAACGATGGAACAGTCCACCAAGAGAGCTTTTCTTATGAGGAAAAAAAATAAATCGAAAAATTGGGTCATGTGAACGGGAGGCGGGGCTGAAATCGAGTCACTTTAGGAATACCTCTCGACAAAGACGCAGTAAGGCCATAGAAGTAGAAAAGGTGCGCATCAGACGTTGTCTTCAGTTCCCGGATTCGTTTAGGACAGGAAAAAAAATAGGTGAAACACTCTCAGAGCTCTATGGCACCTTTTCCTAGTTCTCAACATCGATTGCTTCACACGTTTATTTTAGCCAGAGCACCCATGTTTCCTTTCCGTCAGTCCCCCGCCTTGGGTGGGGTGAATCTGTGCATCTCTATGGTCATTCGTGTGAAGGAGGGTTCTGGGTCACGTAAAGGGAGACGTAGAGAACAACTTGTTCCGCTTCCGCTTGGGAGTTCGCAAGCGAAGAAAGCATGGAAGTGGTTGACGCTACTCGCTCCGCTTTGCCGGCGAGGCGAAAGCGAGCGCGAAAAGAGCCCGAAGACGATGCGGTTCGCGGCGCTGTTGGCGAGGGTGACACCCGCGAGGCATCTGAAGATCTGATGGACAAATCTCGCCGATCTCGGCACTTGGCGCTTCTGGCAGAGAAGTCTGCAGCGGACCGTGGCCTGGAGGAGTTGGTGTTCGGGAACACTACTGAGGAGGGAGAGGACCTGCTTAGGCGGCTGGAAGGCCGCCCCTCTGCGCAGGTATTTGGTGGGCTCAGTTTGCCTCGCAGTCACCAGGGAATGGGGTGGTACCTGCGTACTTCTAACAGCCGAGAGTGGCAAGCAGGGATTCAACGAGTTACCCTTTCTCTGGGCGAGCAGATGCAGGGGTGGTGCCGAAGGTTTGTACCTGGGTTATTGAATTTCTCTATGTGTATGATGTAGATAAGAAACTTTGGTCTGCATAAAAATGTCAACAAGTAATTGTCAGAGGTTATATGTTTGAGCATAGGGACTCATATTTGTCAATTGTCAGAGGTTTCAGAATACATGCTGTTAAGTGAGATGCTGTTCAGTCTTCTTTTTAAAATGTACTTTATACATGTATATCTTTTATAGCGTCGTGAAGTGGTTAGTGGGAACCTACTTGAAGAGGAGTCCTGTGATTCAGAAACTGACAATGAAGCAGACAACTTTCTGCTACCTAAAAAACCAGCATGGGTGGATGAGGATGATGAAGCTGAGGAAGTGTAAGACATATTTATAATACATTTCATTGTGAATAGAGAAAGATTATCTAATGCTGCAGTTCTAAACAAGTATTGATTTGAGTGAGACATGCCAAGTTAACACGTTTGAGATTGTGATCTAGTTAACATTTTAAATTTGCCATATTAATTTGTTGTTATAGTTGCATGATTTTGTTAACTTGTATATTTTCTTAATACTTTTAAAAATAATTGTTTGGCAGCTGTCTTTCTAACACTCTGGAAATTACTTTAACTTTGCTGCTCAGAGAAACCCATGAAATTAATTGAAATTTAGGTAGCTGCTTAACAACATAATCCAATGTATGGTAAAATCTAACATACTCACTTACCTTAACTCTTAAACTGATTGGTTGAATGGTTTTGGAAAAGTTTGTAAATTTAGCATATGACTTAATTTTCCTAGAATTGACATGACTCATCGATATAGGAAAAATATGATGAAAAGTGATGCAGAAAGAAAACTTACTAAGGAGAAGCTTCAGAGAAGACTTCAAGAAGAGTAAGCTTTAGTAATAATATGCAGGAGGGTGAAATCTTGGGAACCTCTTTTACTTGAAGTATGGGGTCCAATATTTGGTTAAATACAAAAGCTATGTACTCTTTTCTTATAAGTTGGCCTACCCTGTGTTCTCCTCTGACTGGCAACGTGTACATTAATTCGCACTTGAGGATTTTTCAACCCAAATTTACTTATGCAATATAAAATCCCAAGACTACACAGTTTAGTATGGTAATAGAAGTGTCTTCTGCCCTGAAATCTAATTTAAGGAGAAAAGAAATTTCTGAAAGAAGTGTGATGCAAAAATGACCTGGTATGCAAATGCATTCTGAAATGATGCTAGTGTATGTATGTCTATATGTACATGTACTGTGCAAGAATTTTTATATATTTTGTCAGAATGGAAGATTTGGGGGCTGATGAGGTAGGGAGAGAGTTTCTACTGCATTATCTCACAGGTTTTCAATTAAGCAGCTGGCTTGAGCACTTGCATCACAGGTGGATGTGTATGAGTAGAGGGAATAAGGGGACAGGAAGGGAACGAATGACATTTTGTGTTCTGTGAACCACGTCCACTAGTCTCCTTTATTCTTGTTTCCTAATGCTTGTTCTCCCCCCCCCCTTAAATTTGAGAGACTTGGCTACTTTTCTATTAACAGCACATTTCTGATTACCTAAATGAATAACATTGCAGTATGTTTATTATAGATAACATGCAAAATTATCACTCTTAGATTTCAGAGTGCTATGGGAGCAACCCCTTCTTGGGCGCAGAGGTCTATGAAGAAGAAAAATAGAAAAACAAAAAATGAAGGTAAATAAGAGTGGCTTTCTGTGTTGTGAACCTAAGTGGAGAAGGTCATAGTTACCAAACAATAAGTTCCACTGAACTCATTGGGACTTATGAGTAAGTCCACATAAGGGTCAAGATGTATGTAGTACACAGCCCTGACCTAGATAGCCCAGGCAAGCCTGATCTTGGAAGCTAAGCAGGGCCGACCCTGGCAAGGATTTGGATGAGAGACTTCCAAGGAGTACCAAGGCTGGAGCACAGAGGCAGACAATAGCAGGTCACCTCTCTGAAACGTCCAAGCCATACTAGGGGTCACCAGAAGTCAACCATGACTTCCAGGTACACACACACACACAAATACACACAAAAAAAGATGTATGTAGTACACAGTGGAGATGTGTGGAATACACTGGTTAGTTTCTGTGTAAAGCTTTTAACTTTTGACTGTCATTTCTCACAAATATGACTGCACTCTGTTACTTTTACGTGTAGGTAAAACAATAAATGTAGTAATCTAAATAATTGTCTTTAAGATGACAGTGAAGAGGACGAAGATGCTGATCTGCTACGTAAGACAGGCAATTTCGTGACCACATCTGAGTCTTTACCAAGAGGTATTTTACAGGTAAAATATTCTGCTTTGTTTTCATGCACATTGGAGTCAGTATCTGTGGTAAAGACACCATGACAAAGAGAAGTCTGTGCATGACAAGTACAAACAATGTGTTTCTGTTCTTGCATCTCCCCCCCCCCCCCCCCTCTGGTTGCACATATAGTGTGACTGTAAGCTCCTGAATTTGGAAACTCTAGACGCGTTCCAGTTCACTATGATACCAAATGGCTTGTGCAAAGACGAGTTTGCTTTGGCATCAGTAAACCCAGATTCTGAACCATGGATCCCAGTTTAGAGTTTTGGTTCATTCAGGCTCCCGCATTCAAATGCCATGGTGAATTTGAGTATGATTCAAGGCTTCCCACACCCCAAGCAAGGAGACTACTCAACCACTGCAATAAGCTGTGTCTATACCTATCATGGGTAAACTCCTGTTTGTTGTGATTTATGAAGCAGCTGCTTTAGCTGTAAGAAAAATAACATACCTTATAAGGGGTATTGAGAGCGTTTTCATATATTGAATATACTAACAAGTCAATCTAACACATGATGAACTAGTTAAGCGAGCTTTCTAAAAACGAGAATCATTATGTGAATCTAGAAATTCCAGGTTGCAATTTATAAATGGCATGCTGAACATGTTACTTAAATAATAGTGGTTTTAGGCAATAAATTTACAAATAGCTTTGTGCACTAGGGTCAACAATACATTCTGGAAATTCCAAATACAGAAAGGTCTATACAAGTGTGTGCTTCTGTTTTAAGATATTGTCTTTCCAAATAACTGATTTTATATGTGGTAAATAAATTACATCGAATCTGCCAGAACAGAAGGCTTCATATTCCCTGTGAATGAGTGTGTCACTGGTATTATGTAAGTAGCAGGTTTGCTACAATATATATAATTAGTATAAATTAGTTTTGAAGTTCATTTTTCTGTGAATTCATAAATTATGCAGCTCCACACTGACTGTATGCATGCATATTCTGCCTTTTGTTTATTTTATATCGTTGCTATATTTATGGCTCACCATTCTCTATTTTAGATGAAAAAGTGCTTGCATGCTAATAATGACCGTCTATCAGATGCAAAACTGACAACTGTGCAGTTCCATCACTCTGCTCAAATTGTTATGACAGCTGGGATTGATCAGACTGTATCGCTGTTTCAGGTAAGAAGTTAATGAATACATCATTTTTATGTTTGGACATTCTAGGTGATTTTAATTTTTATAACTACATTGTTTTATATTACTGTGTGGCTTTAAAATTACATAGTATGTGATTGTTTCTGGTTTGCTTTTTTCTTGTTCTTGTTGGTTCAGAAATATTTGGCTATAATACTTATACGCATGGAGTGAAATCAATATGTGAGATA